GGTTAAATTGATTAGCTAGGCTTCATGGGCTGAAAGCAAGTTAGAATTTACAGGCAGTGATGGGTATATTTTTGTCAATGTCTGTTTATTTGTCAAGCATGACTAGTTAAGATGTCTGGTTCCTCACACCACCAAAGTTCTGGAGACAGTAGCTGAAGGCCAGGAAAGCAAGGCTTGCATCGTGGGCCACCTTATTGAAGAAGTAGGAAGGGAAATTCGGTTAAAAACCCAAAAGCAGACTCCTGAGAGAAGTGATTATGAAGCAGAAAACTCTTGAACACCTGCATTTTCTGGCAGCCTACAGAACAGCACGCCCACATCTCTTTTAGGGAGGTTACATACATCAATCACATTATCTCATTCTTAGCCAGTACTCCTTTTTGTTGGTTACCAACAAGTATGACAACACTTAACACTGTCAATATAGGAACTGTACTATGTATAACTACACTTATAAGTTGCAATCTGGTCGCAGTAGATGAAAACCATGGGATGAAAATCCTGGATGGCACTAATGTCATCTCTGCACACCAGTAAGAGGAGCAAGAGAAGGAATGAGTAAGGGCTTCTTAAAACCACATGCTTTTGCGAATGAAATCCCTTAGATTTGGAGAGGGTGAGGGACAGCCTGCTACATGGGAACATAACAGCGCTAAAATAGCAGCAACGAAGCATGGGTTGCTGCTGAGAAGAGTCTATTCCAGTGCCAAAAAAAGGAAGGCAAGCCAGTTGAATTTTGAGAAGAATGATTAAGCTATGGAATATCTTTCAAGCACCTGTATGTGCTCAGGAAGGGCACCAGATGGCACAGCGTTTACACTCATAACAATTCTACGCTTGTTCTCAAAGGCTATCCAGCTCATTCCCATAAGTCACATATGAATTGCTGACCAAACCCATGAAGAAACATCAATGTCAGGGTTGAGAGGGAGATGCTCACTTCTGTTTGTCTAGTTTGGACTGACGGTTTTAACTGCTTACAATAGGCAAAAACAACTGCTCTTTCACCAATGGCAGGATGACCTGCATCTAGAAACCAGCACATCTCACTTACCATCCTCATCTTTAAACAGCACTCACCTGAGTATGGATTGTTAGCAAGGCTCCCATCTCTGCCTGTCAAGGTTGCTGGAGCAGGGAATGTAATTCCATAGTAATCCTTGGAAAGAGACAACATCGCTTATTAATAGTTGAAACCATATCAAAGATGGACAGCTCTTATGAATCCTGCATTGTAATTGTAAGAAAGAGGTTTGTCAAGACAGAGGTTTGAGCAGAAGGTGACCTTATCGCTTACAGCAGAGCTTTAGATTAACCTGCATCCTCAACTTCAAAATAAACCTACTTTCTGATGTTTTTAGCATTGTGTAACAAATACTTCATCCTTAACAGTAAGCTAAAGACAACAACCACACACTTCTCCCTCCCAACCCTCAGCTCTGAGCTGTTACATTCCAGTGAGAAGACTCTTCCAGTACCTGGAAGAACAACAGACCATCAGGAGCCAAAGACCTGGGATGTAGCCTAAAGGTTTGACCCTTGTGCCATACCCTATTTTCTAAAAGCGAAAAAATCAGCTGGAAAACAGTACAAACATTTGAAAACAAGCCAAAAAAAAAAAAAAAAAAAGAGGAAAATAGTAAAAAGAGTTACTACCAGGTGACTGGGAAATTTATTTAAACTATGTTTCAGGAGAACTGTCCTGGGTTCAGCAGTAGCAGTCATTTTTTCCTTCTTAGTAGCTGGTGCAGTGCTGTGGTTTTGACTTTCAGCCTGAGAACAATGCTGATAACACCGATGGTTTTAGTTGCTGCTCAGTAATGTTTACTCTGACCAAGGACTTTCTGAGCCTCATGCTCTGCCAGGGAAGAGGGGAAGCTGGGAGGAAGCAGAGACAGGACACCTGACCCAAACTAGCCAAAGGGGTATTCCATACCACAGCACATCATGCCCCGTATATAAACCAGGGGGCAGTTACCCAGAAGGGCCAGATCACTGCTCAGGTCGGGCTGGGTATAGGTCAGTGTGTGGTGAGCAGTTGTATTCCCTTGTTATTTCCCTTATCATTATCATTATTGGTGGTAGCAGTAGTGGTTTGTGTTATACCTTAGTTACTGGACTGCTCTTATCTCAGCCTGTGGTTACATTCTTTTGATTCTCCTCCCCATCCCTCTGGGAGCGGGGGGAGGAAGGGGGGCAGTGAGCGAGTGGCTGCATGGTTTTGAGTTACCAGCTGGGTTTAAACCACAACAAGAACTCTCCAAAGTGGGATGTGCAAGACAATCCATTGGGGTGCATGAAGAAATTGTGTTTGGTACCGTTAGTAAAATAAAACAACGTAATGAAAAAAAATAGTGCTTGTTTAACCTTAAATCCTTTTTTAACTTTTATTTTTGTGTATGCTTTATAACAGTCAGATTAGCACAGTATCATATGTATGTAATTCAGAAATAAAAATATATTGGGGATGAGTGCTCAGAAATTTATAACTGATGGGGTGTGCAATCAAAAAAGGTGCAGACCACTGCCTTAGATCATTCTTCTAGGTCTTCTACAGGAAAGTAAGACAGGCTTACCCTAGAAAGCCTGCACTCCAAGATCACAGCACATGTCAGCAAAAATGAAGTGGCATTTTGCCTCAATTTGGGAGAAAAAGAGAAAAGTTAGCCCTTTGCTACGGGGCTAGTACTCTACTATGCATTTTTCCTTTTAATTCTTACTGTTTACTCCTCATCACCTCTGATACGTTGAGATATAACCATTTCCACACATCTCCAACACTGAAAATCACAGAATGGTTTGGGTTGTAAAGGACCTTAAAGCTCATCCAGTTCCAATCCCCTGCCACATGCAGGGACACCTTCCACTAGACCAGGTTGCTCCAAGCCACATCCAGCCTGGCCTGGAACACTGCCAGGGATGGGGCAGCCACAGCTTCTCTGGGCAACCTGTGCCAGGATCCCACCACTCTCATAGTGAAGAATTTCTTCCTCATGTCTAATCTCAATCTCTTCTCTGTCAGGTTAAGGCCATTCCCCCTTGTCCTGTCACTACATGCCTTTGTAAAAAGCTGACTCTAGGTTTCTTGTATAGTGCCTTTAGGCACTGGAGCTGCTCTAAGGTCTCCCTGGAGCCTTCTCTTTTCCAGGCTGAACCAGCCCAGCTCTCTCAGCCTGTCTCCAGCGCAGAGCTGCTCCAGCCCTCAGAGAATCTCCATGGCCTCATCTGGACTTGCTCAAGCAGGTATATGCCCCTCTTGTGATGGGGGCCCCAGAACGGCACCTAGTATTCCAAGTGAGGTCTCACAAGAGCACAGTAAAGGGGCAGAATCACATCCTTCGACCTGCTGGTCATGCTCCTTTTGATGCAGCCCAGCATGCTGCTGGTTTCTGAGCTGCAAGCGCACACTGCCCAGTCATGTGGAGCTTCTTGTCATTCAACACTCCCAGGTCCTTCTCCTCAGGCTGCTCTCAATCCATTCTCCACCCACCTTGTATTTGTGCTTGGGATTGCCCCAACCCAAGGAAGAATATTCTCTTCCTTCATACCTGCCTCTACAAATTCCCTGGCACCTCAAATGCTCTCTCACAGTTGACAGCACCTTCCACCTTTCTGTATTTCTGTGCCTCACCTCCATTTCCTACACCCTATCCTCCATCACTGAACGAAATATTCCAACAAAGACTAAGTATTACAGGTGCTTTCTGTAACTTGAAACAGTGCCATATTTCATCATCCTTTCATTGCCAGGTAATTCCACCTAATCAACTCTGGCAAAAAACATTCAATAAAGTACAACCAAATTAACATTAGAAGTCTTAAAGCACCACTCCCATTTCATTCCAAGGAAAAAGTCAACAAAAACAGAATGTGAGAATACATCTGAGCAGGATTCAGTGGAGAGGGACTCTTCATCAGGGACTGTAGCTATAGACAAGGGGTGATGGGTTTAAACTTAAACAGGCAAAGTTCAAGTTAGATATAAGGAAGAAGTTCTTTACTGTGAGGGTGGTGAGGCACAGGCACAGGTTGCCCGAAGAAGTGGTAAATGCCCCATCCCTGGCAGTGTTCCAGGCCAGGTTGGACAGAGCCTTGGGGCAACATGGTCTAGTGTGAGACATCCCTGGCTGTGGCAGGGGGTTGGAACCAGATGATCTTGAGGAACTTTCCAACCCAAACCATTCTATGATTCTGTGATATGAACTGGAAATGACACACTAGCATTCTTTGCCTATATAAACTGGACAAAATATAACCAAACCCTCGTGAGAACAGGGTCTAAGGATTGCAACTATTTCCACTGTCCCTCAGGTGGGGGAAAACCACCTGACAAATATTCCCACCTGCTCCTGCAACATCTAATGTTGTCTAATTTCTACAGTAAATTCAAAATGTAATAATCCCCCCCCCCCCCCCCCATCTAGAAATCACAACCACTACATGAATAGCTGAAAAATAGCATTTATGCATTTGTTTGTAAATATCAACATGCTGAAGAGAAATAGACTGGGAAATGTAAAAACTGAAACTGACAGATGACCACAGAAATATTCTGTGAGATATTTGCAGAGAGGAGAAACTCCTCCGCAGCAAGGCTGTAGATGTAATAGTGAAAGGAAAAGGAAACAGAAAGGAAAAGGAAAAAAAAAAAAAAGAGAAAGTAGACTGACACATTAAAAATATTTCCAATAAAAAAAGGAAAACCTGTATTAACTCATACAAACAAATAGAAAAAAAATGAAATAAGAGAAATTGATATGGATAGGCAGAGAGACTTGAAAATAAAAGCAAAGAAGGATAATGAACAAAACAGACAAAAAGGAAATCCTGAAGGCAACCCAAAATCCACATTTTCATGTCCCCTGCTGAACCATAACAGCACAGCAGCTTGGGACCCCTCTGCACCCCAACAACATTCATGGGAAAGAACCAGCTCCCCCTTCCCTTCCTTAGAGCAGGGCAAACCCCTGCTCAGACTTTTGACAAGTACAAAAAAAAAAAAGCCCTAAGGAAAAACTAAACAGAAAGCAAAACTGAAAATGGAACTAGGGAAATCCTGTCTAGAGAATGGTGATGATGAATGGAAAGTGGTGCCATATATAAAGCTGCCACCTGGCAGAACCCCCAGCACAGTGCCAACCAGCACCACCACCGAGACGCGGCACGCTCCTGCCCAGCACCCCCCAGCCAGCACCCACAGCCCCACCATGCCTACGCCCGCAACCCCACAGCCCCGCCTGGGCTGCGGCGCCCCGGCGCTCCTGCTCCTCTTGACGGCTCTCGCCACCGGCCTCGCCTGCCACCACCGGCCTGCCCGCGATGACACCTTCCCCTGGCGCAGCCTCCAGCTCCTCCAGGCCATGGCTCCCAGCCCCACACCGCCCTGCCAACACCAGCAGGCGCCCCTCTTCCCCGACACCCTCCTGCACATCAGCCACCCGCAGCAAGCCGCCGCCACCGCCCTCCGCATCCTCCAGCACCTCTTCCACACCCTCAGCAGCCGCAGCACCCCCCAGCACTGGCACAACGAGCCACGCCACCAGCTCCTCAGCAGCCTCAATCATTACATCCACCACCTGGAGCACTGCCTGTCAGGCAATGTCAGACGCTTTCGAAGCCGAGGACCCCACAACCTGCTGCTCATGATCAACAAATACATCCATGGCATCAATGGCTACCTCCATGCCCACAGCTACAGCGCCTGCGCCTGGGACCACGTTCGCCTCGAAGCTCACTCCTTGTTCCAACACTTGGACAAACTCTTCCGGCGAATGAAAAGCTGATTTGCTCCCACGCTCTGCCAACCCCGGCACCAAATGCCTGTCCTCAGCCAACGTCGGTGGCCATGGGCTGGGATTGATCTGGGTTGCCAGAGCTCCTCCAGGCAGGATGGGCATGACCACATTGAGGCTAAAGCTGGGCTGTGGGACAGCCGCACTGCTCATACTGCTGGCGAGGCAGGAGGGGATTGCTGTGCTGCATGCCTATGGACGAGGGGATGGGAGAGGGGTGATATTTATTACCTATGGAGATATCCAGACTATCCAGGCTGTGACCTCCACTGATGGAGGGGGAGGTCCCCATGGACAATGAGAGACTCTTGCAAAAATGAAAGAACTCTTATTTATATATTTATTTAGCTGACCATGGGTTATTTATTTATTTATTTTTGTCCTTCTTGCAAATAAAGATTTTTTGTAAAAACAAAAAAGAAGGAAAAAGAGGTGGTCATCATGCATGTACCTGATAAGCAAAGACAGGGAATCTCCAGCCAGGCAGGGATGAGTCTCCCTCCTGCAGCCCAGCCCCCCAGTACCTCCTGCCCTGGCCAAAGGCTCCAAACAGCAACCTACTTTCAGTGACCCACCATGGTCCTTCAAGCCCATAGGCATCTCCTGCTGATGCCAGACCCTGGGAGCACATGCTTGCCCAGATGACATGATGCCTGCCCTGCGTGCACCTCCTCTCCCATCACCCACCTTCTTCCTTCCCAACCCTTTCCCCCTACTAAAACATGATAGTCTCTTCCCAACAACGACCCTATCACAAACCACCCCACAGCAATGCCTAAGTACTGCTAGGTGCACCAAGCAGAGTAACACGAACAAGATGCACCTGAAAAAGGCATGGAGGGGACCCACCAAAGCCTGTGACATTTTGACAAGGAACAGCATACCAGCACTGCAAACCCCCCACAAAAGCATAAATACAAGCTTGGCAGAGAATAGATTGAGAGCAGCCCTGAGGAAAAAGACTTGGGGGTGTTGGTTGATGAGAAGCACAATATGACCAACATGCTCAACATGGGGAGCGTGTGCTTACAGCCCAGTAACAAACCCTATATGCTGCGCTGCATCAAAAGGAACATGACCAGCAGGTCAAGGGAGGGGATCTTGCCCCTTTGCTCTGCTCTCGTGACAACCCCCTGCTGTCTTGCATCCAGGTCTGGGGCAACGACACAAGAGGGGAATGGAGCTGCTTGAGCGAGTCCAGAGGAGGCCATGGAAATTCTCTGAGAGCTGGAGCAGCTCTGCTCTGGAGCCAGGCTGAGAGAGCTGGGCTTGCTCAGCCTGGAGAAGAGAAGGCTCCAAGGAGACCTTGGAGCAGCTTCCAGTGCCTAAAGGTGCTACAAGAAACCTGGAGATGGGATTTTTACTAAGGCCTTTAGGGATGAAGGCGAATGGCTTTAAACTGAGAGTGAGGAGACTGAGATTAGACATGAGGACGAAATTCTTCACTATGAGAGTGCTGGGACCCTGGCACAGGTTACCCAAGGAAGCTATGGCTGTCAAATCCCTGCCAGTGTTCAAGGCCAGGTTGGACACAGGGGCTTGGAGCAAGCTGCTCCAGTGGAAGATGTTGGGGTTGGAGCTGGAGGAGCTTTAAGGTCCCTTTCAAACCTAAACATTCTGCGATTCTATGAACATGAGAAAAGAGATCAGGAAAGTTGCGAGATGGCCATTCCTGGAGATATACGCAAAAGCATCACTGGAAAACCCAACAGCAACCTCCTCTGATAAGACCTCTCCTCAGAACAAGGATGCACTAAGGACCCTCCAGAGAAAAATACACCACTGGAATAAAAATAAACCAACAAAAAGACATGATGCACAGAGAGAGATAAAAACAAAAACAGAAACTGAGAAGCTGCAGTAGTAACAGGGATCACATAATACAAATGCAAATCATGAAGAAAACCTAGACATTTCGGGAGAAAATCTTGTCTGTAGAGAGCATTTTGCTCCACACCACAAAAAGACACAGTGCTCAAAAAAAAATTCCTCAAAACACGCAAAACCAGAATATAAATGAATCTATTCCTGGCTGAATCTTCACAATTGTTAAAAAAACAACTGTTAAGAAAAGAGTGCTAGTCCCCCAAAACCAGGTCTTTCAAATAGGCAAAACGAAGCAAAGGCATTATAGAAGCTTCATCAATACAGTAACAGGACTCAAGTGATGAATTGAGAACCGTTTCCAGAAAGGACATCTGAACAGACGAAGATCATACAATGATAAAAAAACACATCATTTAACAAATAACAACTAACAAAAAAAAAAATCAAATGAAAACAAAGATGATAATATACCAAAAGCAAAACACCACAAACACTACTAAAACCCAACAGAAGAAAAAGGGACTTGGGCAGGAAGGGAAATCCAGCAAAAAACAACTGCAAAGAGACAGGGACAAAGAGGAAAAGCAGAAACCACAAAAAACTCACCAGCAGCACAAGCGCCCCACACGTGGCTGCCCCTGAGCTTTCCCGCCTCCACGAACCGCTACATCAAAACCCCTGCCGCCATAACCGGCACCAACCCAAACACAACCACAAAGCACGGCCAAGGACTTCCCCACCCACAGACACCCCAGAAAAGGCTCTTCCCCAGGAGCAGCACGGACCCCAGCCCAAAATGGAAACCACAACCGGCAAGCGGCCGCAAGCGGAAAGCGAGGAAGGGGAAGCCGCGGTGGCACCACATAAAGCTGCCACCCGGCAGAACCCCCAGCACAGCGCCCACCCGCACCACCACCGAGACGCGGCACGCTCCTGCCCAGCACCCCCCAGCCAGCACCCACAGCCCCACCATGCCTACGCCCGCAACCCCACAGCCCCGCCTGGGCTGCGGCGCCCCGGCGCTCCTGCTCCTCTTGACGGCTCTCGCCACCGGCCTCGCCTGCCACCACCGGCCTGCCCGCGATGACACCTTCCCCTGGCGCAGCCTCCAGCTCCTCCAGGCCATGGCTCCCAGCCCCACACCGCCCTGCCAACACCAGCAGGCGCCCCTCTTCCCCGACACCCTCCTGCACATCAGCCACCCGCAGCAAGCCGCCGCCACCGCCCTCCGCATCCTCCAGCACCTCTTCCACACCCTCAGCAGCCCCAGCACCCCCCAGCACTGGCACAACGAGCCACGCCACCAGCTCCTCAACAGCCTCCAGCACCGCATCCAGCGCCTCCAGCACTGCCTGACGGACAACGCCACGCTCTTCCCGGGACAAGGGCCTCGCAGCCCGCTGCTCACCGTCAACAAATACTTCCGACACATCCAGGACTTCCTGCGCACCCACAACCACAGCGCCTGCGCCTGGGACCACGTCCGCCTCGAAGCTCGCCTCTGCTTCCAGCACCTGCACAACCTCACCCGCACCGTGCCCAATTAGCCCAGCGACCCCACGCTCCCGCACCGCCCCGACACCAGCAACACCGGGGCAGCGCCCGCGCGCACCCGCCTCGGGCCTACAGCACCCTCCGACACAGCCGCGGCAAGAGACGCCCTGACCCCGCGCCTCTCCTGCGCCCGCTGCTCCCCGACACCCCTGCTCTATTTATTGGCACACGATGCCACCTATTTATTCACCTATTTATTCACACCAAATAAAGACCTCTTGACGAAACCCGCCACTGCGTCTCTTCTCACAAGCGCACCAACCTCTGCTTGGTCTGTGGTGAAGCTCAAGATGCAGTGCCCTTAACTTGCCCTCTGAAACCTCTGTAGGTTTTTGTCTGCCCAGTTCTCCAGCCTGTGCAGATACTACTGAATGCCAGCACAGCCTTCAGATGCATCAGCCACTGCCACCAGTTTCTCATCAGCCACAAACTTGCTGAGGTGCCACTTTAGCCCTTCACTCACTGCACTGATTAAAAAGTTGAATTAGACCAGACCCCGTTTTGGTCCCCGACAACCACCACCGACTGCAGGCCTCCAATTGTATTCTACTCTGTTGATCACAGTGCTCTCAGCTCTGCCATTCAGACAGTCCTCAGCCCATCTCGCTGTCCGTTCATTTAACCTACGCTTCCTGACCTCACCTACGAGGGTTTTATTGGAGGCATTGCCAAAAGGCTTGCGGAAGTGATATGATTTAGCGTAAGGTGTCCCTGCCCACAGCAGGGGGCTTGGAACCAGATGATCTTAAGGTCCTTTCCAACCCTCATGATTCTATGATTCCATAAGTAAAGGCTGATAACATGCACTGCTCTCCCCTTGTAAACCCATCTTGCCCTGTCATTGTAAAAGGCTCTGAGTTTGGCCAAGCAAGATCTACCCTTGGTGAATCCATGCTGACCACTCCTCAGGGACTTCTTTCCTTTAACATCCTTGGTTCTGACCACCCGAAGGACCTATTCCATCACCTTTCCAGGGATGGAGATCAGAACGACCGGCTAACGGTTTCCCGCGTCCTCTTCCTTTCCCTTTCTGATGATGGAGTGACATTGGCCTTCCTTCACTCCTTGGACACCTCTCCCATTCTCCACGCGTATCCAAGGATGAGGAAGGCAGCAGAACAACATCTGCCAGCTCCCTCAGCACCTTTGGCGACATCCCCTCAGGGCCCAGGGGTTTATGGGCGTTGAGCCTGTCCAGCCTATCCATAAGTCAACTCTCTGCAACCAGGGGCTGAAAGCTTACTTTCTCTGGCCTTCATCTCTTACCTTCCTTTCCCTGCTGATATACACGAAGAAGCCCTTCTTCTTGTACTGACGTCTTTCGCAAGGCTCAGTTCCAAGTGCACCTGCGCCTTCCTCGTTCTACCTCTGCATACAGTGACAATGGTCCTTTTTGATCTCCCGGTTGGATTGCCCTCTTTTCCACCTCCAGTGATTCTTCACCACGACGGCGGTGAGACAATGTCACAGGTTACCCAGAGCACTCCTAGCCACCCCATCCCTCAAGCAAGGGCCTTTGAGCACAAAAGACATTTCAACTCACAAGGCCACCAACAACCACCTCTGATACCAATCTTCAGCACAAGAAGCCACACAGGACCTCCAGAAAAAAAGAGATCACTGAAAAAAAACATTTTACAGAAGATAGAAATGATGCACAACCAGTGATAAAAAACAAAATCGGAGAGAAACAAAGAAATGGCACAATTTACCCCAAAAGAGAATAAGCAATGATGTCATCACTGAATACAATGATGTCACCACACACAAAACAGTACCAAAACCAAAACCCCACAACCACTACTACAGCCCAACAAAAGGAAAAGGGAATTGGGCAGGAAGGGAAATCCAGCACAACACAACTGCAAAGAGACAGGGACAAAGAGGAAAAGCAGAAACCACAAAAAACTCACCAGCAGCACAAGCGCCCCACACGTGGCTGCCCCTGAGCTTTCCCGCCTCCACGAACCGCTACATCAAAACCCCTGCCGCCATAACCGGCACCAACCCAAACACAACCACAAAGCACGGCCAAGGACTTCCCCACCCACAGACACCCCAGAAAAGGCTCTTCCCCAGGAGCAGCACGGACCCCAGCCCAAAATGGAAACCACAACCGGCAAGCGGCCGCAAGCGGAAAGCGAGGAAGGGGAAGCCGCGGTGGCACCACATAAAGCTGCCACCCGGCAGAACCCCCAGCACAGCGCCCACCCGCACCACCACCGAGACGCGGCACGCTCCTGCCCAGCACCCCCCAGCCAGCACCCACAGCCCCACCATGCCTACGCCCGCAACCCCACAGCCCCGCCTGGGCTGCGGCGCCCCGGCGCTCCTGCTCCTCTTGACGGCTCTCGCCACCGGCCTCGCCTGCCACCACCGGCCTGCCCGCGATGACACCTTCCCCTGGCGCAGCCTCCAGCTCCTCCAGGCCATGGCTCCCAGCCCCACACCGCCCTGCCAACACCAGCAGGCGCCCCTCTTCCCCGACACCCTCCTGCACATCAGCCACCCGCAGCAAGCCGCCGCCACCGCCCTCCGCATCCTCCAGCACCTCTTCCACACCCTCAGCAGCCCCAGCACCCCCCAGCACTGGCACAACGAGCCACGCCACCAGCTCCTCAACAGCCTCCAGCACCGCATCCAGCGCCTCCAGCACTGCCTGACGGACAACGCCACGCTCTTCCCGGGACAAGGGCCTCGCAGCCCGCTGCTCACCGTCAACAAATACTTCCGACACATCCAGGACTTCCTGCGCACCCACAACCACAGCGCCTGCGCCTGGGACCACGTCCGCCTCGAAGCTCGCCTCTGCTTCCAGCACCTGCACAACCTCACCCGCACCGTGCCCAATTAGCCCAGCGACCCCACGCTCCCGCACCGCCCCGACACCAGCAACACCGGGGCAGCGCCCGCGCGCACCCGCCTCGGGCCTACAGCACCCTCCGACACAGCCGCGGCAAGAGACGCCCTGACCCCGCGCCTCTCCTGCGCCCGCTGCTCCCCGACACCCCTGCTCTATTTATTGGCACACGATGCCACCTATTTATTCACCTATTTATTCACACCAAATAAAGACCTCTTGACGAAACCCGCCACTGCGTCTCTTCTCACAAGCGCACCAACCTCTGCTTGGTCTGTGGTGAAGCTCAAGATGCAGTGCCCTTAACTTGCCCTCTGAAACCTCTGTAGGTTTTTGTCTGCCCAGTTCTCCAGCCTGTGCAGATACTACTGAATGCCAGCACAGCCTTCAGATGCATCAGCCACTGCCACCAGTTTCTCATCAGCCACAAACTTGCTGAGGTGTCACTTTAGCCCTTCACTCACTGCACTGATTAAAAAGTTGAATTAGACCAGACCCCGTTTTGGTCCCCGACAACCACCACCGACTGCAGGCCTCCAATTGTATTCTACTCTGTTGATCACAGTGCTCTCAGCTCTGCCATTCAGACAGTCCTCAGCCCATCTCGCTGTCCGTTCATTTAACCTACGCTTCCTGACCTCACCTACGAGGGTTTTATTGGAGGCATTGCCAAAAGGCTTGCGGAAGTGATATGAATAAGCGTAAGGTGTCCCTGCCCACAGCAGGGGGCTTGGAACCAGATGATCTTAAGGTCCTTTCCAACCCTCATGATTCTATGATTCCATAAGTAAAGGCTGATAACATGCACTGCTCTCCCCTTGTAAACCCATCTTGCCCTGTCATTGTAAAAGGCTCTGAGTTTGGCCAAGCAAGATCTACCCTTGGTGAACCCATGCTGACCACTCCTCAGGGACTTCTTTCCTTTAACATCCTTGGTTCTGACCACCCGAAGGACCTATTCCATCACCTTTCCAGGGATGGAGATCAGAACGACCGGCTAACGGTTTCCCGCGTCCTCTTCCTTTCCCTTTCTGATGATGGAGTGACATTGGCCTTCCTTCACTCCTTGGACACCTCTCCCATTCTCCACGCGTATCCAAGGATGAGGAAGGCAGCAGAACAACATCTGCCAGCTCCCTCAGCACCTTTGGCGACATCCCCTCAGGGCCCAGGGGTTTATGGGCGTTGAGCCTGTCCAGCCTATCCATAAGTCAACTCTCTGCAACCAGGGGCTGAAAGCTTACTTTCTCTGGCCTTCATCTCTTACCTTCCTTTCCCTGCTGATATACACGAAGAAGCCCTTCTTCTTGTACTGACGTCTTTCGCAAGGCTCAGTTCCAAGTGCACCTGCGCCTTCCTCGTTCTACCTCTGCATACAGTGACAATGGTCCTTTTTGATCTCCCGGTTGGATTGCCCTCTTTTCCACCTCCAGTGATTCTTCACCACGACGGCGGTGAGACAATGTCACAGGTTACCCAGAGCACTCCTAGCCACCCCATCCCTCAAGCAAGGGCCTTTGAGCACAAAAGACATTTCAACTCACAAGGCCACCAACAACCACCTCTGATACCAATCTTCAGCACAAGAAGCCACACAGGACCTCCAGAAAAAAAGAGATCACTGAAAAAAAAACATTTTACAGAAGATAGAAATGATGCACAACCAGTGATAAAAAACAAAATCGGAGAGAAACAAAGAAATGGCACAATTTACCCCAAAAGAGAATAAGCAATGATGTCATCACTGAATACAATGATGTCACCACACACAAAACAGTACCAAAACCAAAACCCCACAACCACTACTACAGCCCAACAAAAGGAAAAGGGAATTGGGCAGGAAGGGAAATCCAGCACAACACAACTGCAAAGAGACAGGGACAAAGAGGAAAAGCAGAAACCACAAAAAACTCACCAGCAGCACAAGCGCCCCACACGTGGCTGCCCCTGAGCTTTCCCGCCTCCACGAACCGCTACATCAAAACCCCTGCCGCCATAACCGGCACCAACCCAAACACAACCACAAAGCACGGCCAAGGACTTCCCCACCCACAGACACCCCAGAAAAGGCTCTTCCCCAGGAGCAGCACGGACCCCAGCCCAAAATGGAAACCACAACCGGCAAGCGGCCGCAAGCGGAAAGCGAGGAAGGGGAAGCCGCGGTGGCACCACATAAAGCTGCCACCCGGCAGAACCCCCA